CTGGAAAGCCCTGACCCTTGAGCGTTGGAACTGGGGGTCAGCTGTTACCAACAGTGCTATGTATTTTGAAGAGGTGCAAATAGAGGGCGAAAGGGATAAATGTGCCAAGAGGATGGCTCTCTAGGAATTTCCTAGGTCCAGCAGGGCAAGTCCGTGGTAACTTCTGGAAGAAACATACTATAGCAGGCCTCTTCAACCCTGCTGCTGTTTTGGACTTCAGCTCCCAGCACTTGACCATTGAACAAGCCGATGAGGGCTTCTGAGAGTTGGAGGGTCACTGGTTGTGCAAGCCTTCTGTAGACTCACCTGGAAGACCTAGAAAACTCCTATAAAGGGCATATTTTGTTGGAGGCGGATAGGTCAAACTGTTGCTACTGGTCCCACAGGTATGGAAGTCCCACCACCTAGATAAGTTTGACCAGTGAGCACTCAGGTAAGATACACATTCCTATAGATTAGAAGGAAGCAGTTCTTTAGGGAAGAGCTTTTTAAAATAGGTATAAAATTAAATATTTACTGATAACGAATCAGCATTTGCACAGCTTGCTGAACAAGCTGATTTGTCTTTTTATGAAGTACAGCTGAAGCATCTTCGACAAGAGTCCACTGTAAACCCTGCACAACAGATCTGTGTAAATGTCTAAAAAAGCGACTAGGTGACATTGAGAATATTTTTGGCACTTCAAAATTGAGCTACTGGGACTCAATTTGGGGGCTTGACCCACAGTTTCAAAAACAATGCTTTTTGGGGGGCTTCATGGGTTAAAACCAGCACCTTTCCAAGAGGATAAATTCATCTCAGGAACTGATGGCATCCCACTAGCTACATAAGGATCAGCATCCAGAGAATGAGTTTGCTATAAGTACATACAAAAGATTTGTTACCATAAAAAGGCTACCTTGTCAGTTTCAGCAGCACTTGCTCACATTCTTGCTTCTTCTTTGCCAGTTGCTCCTCATAGGGCATCATCCACAAAGGGGTCACCACATCCGCTATCTGTTTGTCAAGCGGCTCGTTTTTGCCTTCCTTGGACAACACTGGACATTTCGCAGCTGCCGGGTCTTTGGTCTCCTCTCCCTCCTCTCCTTCTCTTTTTCGCTTCTTCATGATGGGATCAGCCTTCGGTTTTGCTAACCTGATGCTGAGGTTTTGGTTCTTCCACCGGACTCCATGAAGGACCTTCACTGCTTTGTCCCGTTCCTCCTCACTCTTAAATGTGACAAACGCAAAGGTCTGCTTCCCCAGCAATTTGATCTTGTGAGGGTTAAGACCATATTTAGCAAGGAATTTCTTTACTTCATGGAAGCCAATGTATTTGGGAAGGTTCTGGATTTCGACTTTATATATTTCGGAAGTAAATAAGTCATCTTTAATATATCTATACAAGCTTGAGGTGTTTGCTGCATTATTACCTTCGCATGCATCTCCCTTAGCTTCCTTCGCAGTTACCGTTTCCGTTTCCTCAAGAGAAGACAGACTTTTTGCATCAGACAAGCATACACCATTATTATTTTCTTCCATTATGTCATCTATTCTGTAAATAAAGGTAACAAAATTTCCTCTTTCAGGAATTCCATGTTAAATCACATTAAAATGCCAACCTGCTCCTTAAAATGATCTTATTGTGTGTTGTTTTTGATATACAACTTTTCCCCAATCCAGAAGACAAAGCAGCTTACAAAGATTCAGGCAAATGTTAAAATCCATCTGATACAAAACTGAAAAATATAATTAAGCTGCTTATTATTATTATTATTATTATTATTATTATTATTATTATTTCTTACCCATCTCTCCTTGCAGCTCAAGGCAGGGCACACCATAGTTAAAGCACTTCATCATAAGACATTATGTAAAATAGTAAAAGTAAAGGTTTCCCCTGACATTAAGTCTAGTTGTGTCCAACTCTGGGGGGTAGTGCTCATCTTCAGTTCTAAGCCGAAGAGCAGGCATTGTCCATAGACGACTCCGAGGCATGTGGCTGGCATGACTACGTGGAGCACTGTTACCTTCCCACTGAAGAAGTTCCTATTGATCTACTCACATTTGCATGTTTTCGAACTGCTAGGTTGGCAGAAGCTGGGCCTAACAGCGGAAGTTCACTCCACTCCCCAGAATCAAACCTTCCTTTCAGTCAACAAGTTCAGCAGCTCAGCGGTTTAACCCGCTGCACCACCAACAGGCCTCATATATTTAAACTTATTTCTATGAAGAAACTTACATATATTTAAACTTATCTCCATGAAATGCATATATTAAAATATATAATCAAATTCAAAGCAGTTTAAAGCATGAACATTTTTAAAACTATAAAGAAATTAATCATGCTATACAGTCTAAAAGCCAGGAAAAAAACAAAATGGAGTCAGAGGCCTGCTGAAAGAACACTATTCTTCAAAGAGATGAAATCAGCAAATTCATGATGGGTTATTTCAATAAACTGATTTCACTTTTACACCACGATGGACAAGCTCCTTTCACAAAGAGCTCAGCATCGAAAGTTACAGACCTGGGAACAGAGCAAATGTGAAAGGAAATGAAGGCAGCGACACACATTGAAAAGCTAAATAATAGTTTTAATTACTTGGTTACATTTTACAGCTAAGATCCACATTTCCAATACTAGCAAAGATTGCTAAAATATGCATGGGTTCACGAAAAACATAATACTACAACCCAGATGATTTATCCAACTATAGCCACATGGGAAACGAAGGAAGGAAGTCCAAGTATAGCAGTGGGTGTATCTACACTGGGTGTATCTACACTGTCGAATTAATGCAGTTTGATGCCACTTTCACCCTCTCATGGCTCAATGCTATGGGACCCTGGAGTTTGTCATTTGATGAGGCACTAGCCCTCTTGCAACGAAGTCTAGAGGACTTGTAAAACTACAACTCCCCATATGGCAGTCCAAGTGGAGTTACAGTGCATTCATTGTACCATGTAGACATAGGTAATTGGTTCCGAAAGAGGAAGCCTTCCACATATTCCAGCCAATCTTACATACAGAAGTAAAAAAATGATGCCCCTCTGAATGCCACATAATCCAGTTCCTGAATCCAGATTCTCTGCTTTGAACTGGATTATCTGAGTCTACACTGCTCTATACTCCAGTGCAAAGCTGAGAATCTGGATTCAGAATCTGAGTTATATGGCAGTGTCGATGAGGCCTGAAAGGAAACAAATGGGTTTCCTTAAGCATCATATGAGGAAACAGAAACATTCCGAACCTTTTAGGCCTCATGTGCACTGCCAAACAATGCAGTTTGGAACTACATTATATGGCAGTGTTGATGGGGCCTGAGAGAAAAGTAGGCGGCTTCTTCGAGAAGTACAAAGAGACAATCTCCTTGATTTTTCCCAGCAGCCTCACTTCCCCCTTTTTTTCTCTTAGGCCTCACGCACACTGCCAGTTTCAGAATCAGGAGTCTCTGCTTTGAACTGCATTATATGACAGTGTAGATCCAGCCTTACTTGCGTGGCTGCCCTTGCCTACTGCTCTTTTATAGCTGCCTCGCCTCAGACGGCGACTTTACAACAGCTTTGGCTCACTCTTCCACTGTAGGCCCTGAGAGAGGCGAGACATGCAGCTCTGTTGCTATGCCGCTGTTCTTCGACTTCAACTGCAATGCCTCTGATCCCAATAGCAGCGCTCTTCCAGGGCAGTGCTTTGGGGCCCTTCAGCGCGCTAGAACTTCAACTCCCAGAAGCGCCCACCAGCTCGGACAACAGCCGGGAATTCTGGGAGTTGAAGTCCCCAACCTCTCGAGTGGAGGGCGCGAGGGCCTTCGCGGGAAAAGGCTGAGGGGGCGCGCGAGGCCATGGGAGGACGGTGCGCATGCGCGACCACGAAGCAACGGCCGGACGGGACCCCAACCCGAAGAGGGAACAAAGAGAGTCCGCGGCGAATTCGCGCTCCCCCCACTCCCCGGACTTGGCCCCAAACCGCCACGCCGCCTGGGCCTAGCCTTTGCGAGAGCCCTTCCCCACCTTCACAGCCCCGCGCCCGGGCTTACCTCCCGGCGCCGCCACACAGGCCCGAGGGGCGTGTCCTGCAGGAAAAGGGGCGTGGCCTAGGCGGCGCGCGCGGTCACCTCAAGATTCCGCCGCTGACTTGCCCATTGCTTCCCTTTCCAAAAAAGCTCCCTTCCCTTGGTCGGCCCTACGATGTGGACTCCAGCTCCCAGAAGGATTGCGTATCCCTCCGGCTGGGCGACGCTTCTGGGAGATGAAGTCCAAAACGCGTGGGCTTCCTCCGAGCGCCATTGTCCCCCCACCCGGCCCATTTCAATACTTCTGACAAGGCAGATTCGACTTGTCCCTGACTAATAAAGCCTCCTCCCCTTCTGAGTCCGTCCGCTTCTGAGGATCATTTTTGGGAGAGAGAACGCCCCTCGTTTTTTACGACCCTCAATATCTGAGGTCTTTATGTCTCTGAGGCGTTTGAACTTTTCCCCAACTGCGCCGGCCCACCTTCGCGCCGAAGTGACGCCCATGCCGCTCGCCTGGGTGCTATTTATATAGTCATGTGACCCTCCATCCCGCTTCCTCTCTTCCCCCTCCCTGTCTAGCCGCCATTTTAAACTCAAGGGGCGGGGCCTGCGCTTTTTTCCGGCTTTGAGCCTGCTTTCGACGAACCTTCCCGGCAGCCTTTGCGCTGAGGCGGAACCCTTTCCCTGTGACAAGCTAATGTTGGCGCTGTGGGGAGATAGATATCATTTGTGTATTTATGTTCACAGTGTTGGGGATACTAGGTAAGGGCCTCTGCGGGGAGGGGGGGAGGGAGGGGGAAGAAGGATGGGAGTTGGAGTTCCTAGTCGGGAGGGCTCTCAAGGCGTCGAGCGCCATCTTGCCCGGCGCGGGGAAGCCTTTGTGTGGAGCGTGCGTGCGTGTGTGTGGAGAGCCCTTCTTTTCCCATCGTCCTTTGCGGGCAGGGCGCGCGAAGGAGTTCAAGGGAGGGAGGGAGGGAGGAAAAAAACGGCCGGGGGCGTGGCCAGCGGGGGCGGAGCCGGAGCGCCAGAGCAGAGGGCTCAGCGAGGCGGGAGAGAGAGGCGAGAGAAGCGGCCAGCGGCGACGCCACCCCACCGAGGACGACGCCATGGCCGAGACGAAGGTGAGCGGCAGCGGGAGAAATGCCCAGCGGAGGCGACGGGGGGAAAGCCAGGCCTGCTTTCGAGGCTGAAGGAGAGGGCGTTACGGAGTAGGCCTTTCCCTGGGGAGGGGGAGGGAAGCCCTTGCCTACTGTGGAGGCCGCCATGGGCCAGAAGAGCGCGTGACGCCCAGCTTCCCACAGTTGGCGCCCGTTGCGTCGGTTAGAAGCACGGAAGGGAGGGGGAGGGGCCCACGTGCTCCTCCGAAGGCCCCCCTCCCCCTCCGAAAGGGATCTTGAAAGGCCTCTTCCCATCTGAAGGTCCCATGGAAAGGGAGGGAGGGGGGCGCGCGCTCTGGTCTCCAGGGAGAAAAAAAAAGCAATGGATGCTTTTCGGAATCACCTCTTGCTCCCCGACTCAAAGTCATTGTCGAGGCTGGGAGTTGGAGAACGTTGAACCCGCTGGAAAGCCACCCACGTGGACGATTTCCGTCTTGGCAGAAAAGGAAACCTCAGTCTGTAATTGTGTGTGTCTCCCCCCCCCCTCTATATCTATATAAATAAAAATGCAACGTTCGTTTGTGGGATTAACGGAACTCAAAAACCACTGGACGAATTGACACAAAATGTGGACACAATACACCTATCAGGCCAACGAGTGACCATCACTCATAAAAACACTGAAAAACACAGTGGGTGAGACTTAAAAACCCCAAAAAATAAAAAATTGCATTACAACACATGCACACATATATATGCAAACACACATATATATACATATGCACATATACACACACAAAACACATATACACAGACTGGGCCACAGCTAGTATATATATGTATATGTAATGTTCGTTTGTGGGTTTAACATAACTCAAAAACCACTGGACAAATTAACACCAAATTTGGATACAATACACCTATGAGGCCAACGAGTGACCATCACTCAAAAAAATTGATTTTGTCATTTGGGAGTTGTAGTTGCTGGGATTTCTTGTTAACCTACATTCAAAGAGCATTCTGAACTCCACCAATGATGGAATTGGGCCAAACATCCCACACAGAACCCCAATGACTAACCAAAAACACTAGAAGGGTTTGGTGGGCATTGGCCTTGAGTTTGGGAGTTGTAGTTCACCTACATCCAGAAAGCACTGTGGACTCAAACAATGATGGGTCTGGACCAAACTTGGCACGAATATTCCAAATGCCCAAATATGAACACAGATGGAGTTTGGGGGAAATAGACCTTGACATTTGGGAATTGCAGTTACTGTGATGTATAGTTCACCTACAATCAAAGAGCATTCTGAACCCCACCAATGACAGAATTGGGGCAGACTTCCCACACAGAACCTCCATGACCAATGGAAAATACTCAAGGCCATCCAGTCCAATTCCCTTGACCAGGGCAAGAAAACATAATCAAAGTCTTCCTGACAAAGAGCCATCCAGCCATAGATATAGAGATGTATGATTCACACACACACAGATATAGTATCATAGATTTGAAAGGGATTCCTAAAGAAGGACAATTATATGTTGCATGTTCCAGAGTAGGCAAATCAGACAATCTCCACGTCAACACTGACAAAGAAACAGCAAGAAATAGTTTACCCACAAGCATAAAGAAATGCCATATATTAAAAACCAACACTTGCTCATTATTTTATTTTCCAGATCACCAGGATGGGCCACAGCAGGCAGGGGATGGCTAGATAGATTGATAGATAGATATGATTAGCCTTTAGTCTATATCACAATCCCAAACTAAACAACAAAGCTTGAGACAACTTAATAAAAACCCATCTATTTAAGTTAAATAAGACCATAATACCATAATAATATGGTAAATAAGTGTGATAAAACTGAACACACATCCTATTTCCCTATCCCCCCTACAATTTACCCCAATCAGCCCCACGTATGTGGATCTCAGGCGTATTGCTTTGCTGAGATACAGAGCTGTTTCATAAGTTATTTTTGAGTCTTGGCCACACATACGCTATGTTCTGATGTGAGATTCCCAATAAATTTTCCGTTTGATATATAATAATACCATCTCTCAAAAGGGACTCGGGCGGCTTACAAAACAGCACATAATAATACTATGAAAACACATAAAATGCATCAACATTTGTGACCGTAACAGATCAATTAACCTAAGACAACATTTACCAAAAAAAAGGAAACAATAATTAAAATAAAATACTTGATAAAAATGCCGCAATAGCTACTAATTAAAATGGGCAGTACAAGTCCATATATGAACTAAAATATATATGATAGTGATTTTATATATATATATATATATATATATATATATATATATATATACACATACATACATACATATATATATATATATACACTTGTGTGTGTGTGTATATACATGCACATGTAATTATTACTTTTATTTTTATATTGTTTAATTTAATATGTATAATAATTCATATATACAGGCAGTCCCCGAGTTACGAACAAGATAAGTTCTGTAGGTTTGTTCTTAAGTTGAATTTGTATGTAAGTTGGAACTGGCGTGTTTTTTAAGTGTAACTCCACACACACACATATATATATATATGGATTTATACTTTAAAAATGTACTGGTGTGCAAATTCAACTTAAGAACAAACCTATAGATACAGAGTTAAACTTTAAAAAAAACATACTGGTTCTGGCTTACATACAAATTCAGCTTAAAGAACAAACCTACAGATAGAGAGATATGTGGAGTAACACTTAAAGAGAACTATATTCAACTAGATATGATTTGGATACCATAGAGAAGGATGAACACCCCTGTGGGTTTCGTTTGCCCCTCTGATCATTGGATTTTGACAAATTTAGCTTGATGTGGAAACAAGGATTGCTGATACAAGCTTCAATGGGGATACCTTTTCCTCAAGATAACTCTTCCAGGAGTGAATTTCCCTTCCTAGGGGGAGATTTCTCTCATTTTCGGTTGTCTCAGCCCCATTGTTCACTATGAGTCATTTGTAAGTTGGGTGTTTCTAACTTGGGGACTGCCTGTATATGTGTGTGTAAAAGTGTTGCTGCCACATCCAGAGAGCCCCATGAACCCCACTGACGATGAATCTCGACCAGATTTGGCACACCATCATGATCAACTTGAAATCGCACTGCGGCTTGGGGGACAATGACAGGGTGATGGGAGTTGCAGTCCCCCTGTCCCCCCCCCCCCCACATCCAAAGAGCACTTGATAGATCTGGATCAAATGTGACACACAGACTCAACACAACCATCTTTAAATAGGCTTGACCTAGCATGATGGGAGTTGTAGCTCACCTACATCCTTATGCATTTTCTATCCAGTCTATTCACCATAAAATCCGAATCCAAACAATAACCATTTCTAATGTGTACCATTGTAAAACACCTAACCTGGTCATCACTGGGTGGCTATGCTAGTCTATATATATATCTGTATTCTAGAAGAGGGAGGCTCAATCTTTTACGGGATTCTGTTGGTTTCCAAAATTTACCAAATCAGAAAAGGAAAAAAGTTATAGATGGCAGCATGTTGTTGGCTAGGAGTGAAATATGCACAGATCTAAACTATCAAGAGGCATTGAATCACTTTGGTACAAGGCTTAGACAGTTGCAATTTATAGCAAACAAATGCATATCCTCAGCATGTGTCTTTGATTCCTGAAAGTGTGTTTATAAGCTCTGGAGATATACACACGCATATACACTAATTTTATTAAGAAGAAATAATGCATATTTTTGCATAGATGCAGGCAAAATGTCCCACCCTGCTCATTCCACAGATATATAAGCCCATTTTCCTAGTTCCAACAGACCTCACAACCTCTGAGGATGCTTGCCATAGATGCAGGCGAAACGTCAGGAGAAAATGCCTCAAGAACATGGCCATATAGCCCAAAAAAACCTACAACAACCCAGTGATTCCGGCCATGAAAGCCTTCGACAATACAACGTATATTTTTGTTATATGTGCCACTAAAATGACTACATCTTACAAAACTAAATTTAAAACAGGGACACTAAGCAAATACCTTCCTACATTAATATGCACCTACCCATAGCTACTAGAACTACCTTATGAACTTCACACTCATAGTTGGGTTGTACTCCTTATTAGCCTGCTCCCTTTAGATAATACTGTACAACCATACTTTTACATTGAAAACGTTCCTCTAATGTATAAGTCCAGCAGTTGAAATTTGTCCCTGTCATTTCTATGAAATGATGATGAGAAACGTCCCAATTGTTCTTGACATTGGTCAAAGATTTCTCCTTATTCATCATCTTGGCTGATTGACAAATCTTTGTCAGCCAGTCTTCTTGCTTTGAGGTAGCTGCAGTAATCTTATATTGTAATCATCTTCCATATTCTTTTTCCTAGTTGGTCATCCAGCATTCCCAAGAAGTAAAACAGGTTTCATCATGATGTTAAGCTTATGTTCTTGAGTCCAGTATTTCTGGACCCTTCTGCAGGACCACCACATAGGATAAAACATCTCCATAATTGTTCTCATATTTCCAGTAATTGCCCATCTTTATACCTACATACCTTTATACAACTTAGGAAAAGCTCACTGGTGTCACATACCACCTATACATCTTATACAAGTTTTCTTTCAAATCATTGCTCATTTGTCTAGACCTCTCTCATTGTTCCAATTGAATTTGTGTACCTATATTTTGAGCCCATTTAACCATAAATCCTTTCACTTATTCTTCCTACTCAATCTGTACTTCAGACTGGATGCAGATGGGAGCATGCTGGAATTTTTTTGTATATCATTGATCACAGAGTAAGCCCTGCTAAACAGGGATGTGCACACATTTATTTGATTTCTGTTCTGCTTTTCTATCTCCCAAGGTGACTGGAATGGGGCTGCTGCTACTTCAGACACGAAATCGCTACAAGATAGGAGCATATTCTTCCCCTCTACAAAATATACCATTCTGATCTTGCTGTTGTAACTTTCTACACAACAGTGGGACTTACTAAGAGAAATATCATAAGATCTGTGCTCCAAACACAATTTGTAGAGGTTATCTTTAAAACATTGCTTCCCAAGTTACTGGATGTGGGACACTGACAATTTTCCTTGTTTTAGTGGGTCAGAGACTAATACAGGCTTAGTATCCATTATCCAAAATGCTTGGGACCCAAATCTAAGCACAATATTTTTTTTCATTTCATCTAGACCTTATAACACCCAGCATGAAAATAACATTTTGAATAATTTTATGCATGGAATAAAGTTGGTGCACATTGGATACTCAGAAAGCAAAGGTGTCGATGTCTTAAGCCACTGAGGTGGGCAATTTTGGAATTCCAGAAAAAGGATATTTAACTCATACCATATTTATGCCCAGTGGTTATGACTTTATGTATTTTAAAGAAATAGCACTGCTTTAGAAACATCAAGAGCTGGATTGTTGCATCTCACTTAAGAGAGCATCTAACTGAACTCCAGTGAGGCTGACTCCCAACGTGAGGTTCCAGGATTCGAAGCCATACTTCTGTCTTCCTTTTCAGCACATATCTGTGCAGATGCTTGCCATGGGCACAAAATGGGGGCAGGGAGCAGAAGCTATTGGCTCAACCTATGTTGGGATTTTATCCTAATAGGATTCCTAGTTAGTGGATGTGATGACTTTCAATCTGGCAGGAGGCTTTAAGGTGGCCTATTCATTATACAGTGCAATCCTGTACTCGTTTTCCAATCTTCGAATCAGATAGAATATAGAAAATATTCTATATTCAGTGAGGCTTTATCCAAGATTTGCATGCCTAGTATTGCAGCTGTAGTATGATACAATAAATCAATTGTGGTACCTGTATTGGGGCTTGCCCTCTAGGGGTGCATCTAGATGCAGTTTGACACTACTTTAACTGCTATCGCTCAATGCTATGGAATCCTGGGAGTTGTAGTTTGGTTGGGGCACCTGCACTCTTTGTAAAAGTACAACTCCTGGAGCCAAGTGCAGTTCAAATGGTGTCAAACTGCATTAATTCCACACTGTAGGTTTCCTTTCACAAGCCAAGTCTGCATATCATAGCAACAGGTTTAACTTAGCTGCAATAGTATTATTCTTTTAAAGATGCCAAGCAACTTGATGTCTGTGTTCTAAAGTGATTGTAGTTTCATGTGAAAAGTTGGGTTTATTTTCTTATGTAGTTTCAAACTACATAATGCAGTAAAATATTTTTCTACTCCATTCTGTTTTTGTTAATGCAGCAGGATTTGTAATCAAGCTAACAGGACTTGATGTAGCTAAAAGCCCAACAGATTTTATCTGTACAAACAAATTTAGGCAAGATTGCCTTTATTGTGCAGTAGGTTCATATTTCTAATTTAATAGATGAATTCAGGCCCTTCGGATATAGATGTGTATAGATTACAACATGGAATTGTCTCATAAACATCATGTTTCTGTCCCTAAAATGTGTTAGCATTAGAAAAAATAATGGCATGTTTTAAGATTCTGACTGTTGATACAATGAAGCAATCTGCCTTCCACTGTTACTAGGATGTCAGATTTTCACAATAAAATGTACTAGAACTCACTTGGAAGCAAGACTGTTATGATGGTGGCCATTAGCATACATTATTTTTTTAATGGGCTAGAGATATTTTTGGAAGATAGGTCTGTCAGTGGCCATTAATCAAAGTAGCTAAATGACTTCCCATGTCCTGAAGAAGTATTCTGTGAATACCAAAAGATTGAGTGGAGAGGGGCACACAGAAATAAAAAGTCAGAATTTATAATGTTTTGCATTTTTAATCCTGGATCTAATTAGGTTAGCGTCTTGGAGTATGGTATAATATGTCTTTGGCAGCGTAATGTACCCTAATTTATTTTCACATAATTTTCTACAGGACACACATGAGGAGCATGAGTCAACAACTGACAGCGTTGATGATTCTAACCATGATCCCCAGTTTGAGCCCATTGTCTCACTTCCTGAACAAGAGATCAAAACCCTTGAAGAAGATGAGGAGGAACTCTTCAAGATGTAAGTAAAATGGTGATGTCTTCCAGTGTTTCATGTAGTTAAATATTGGATGCAAAGTTTTGCACAGAAAGAAATTTATGTCTTCCATATTTTTCCTTTAAAGGCGGGCAAAACTCTTCCGATTTGCATCAGAAAATGACCTTCCTGAATGGAAAGAGCGTGGCACTGGCGATGTCAAGCTTCTGAAGCACAAGGAGAAGGGGACCATCCGCCTCTTGATGAGGAGAGATAAAACCTTAAAAATATGTGCAAATCATTACAGTATGTGATTTGGTTTACTGTCTTGGTACAGTACGACTGATAAAATTCTTGCATAACTGCCTGACATTTAGACCAAAAAACATATTAGCAGTGGAGATGAAATATTTGCAACGTACCCATAAAGCACTTAATATATATGGTGATATCTAGGTGGGGACAAACCTTCTATATGAGTTATTCTGAGTTCCAAAGATGCTGAAAGCGGATATATATTTTTAACTGATATATTCAAAATACTTCTGGAATTAGGAGAGAGCAGAAACTTGCAATCCACCTTTTTTTGTGTAGTTGAGGCCCTGCAGATAAAGCCTCTCACAGATCGGTTAATCTAATGCAGACCACAGTATGCTACAAGCAGACATCATACATAAACCACAGGGCAAAATAGAAAGGGGGAAATCAGCTATAGTGGACACAATAGTAGTCTGTTAACTGAAGACTTGTGAAGCATACTGGCATGAGAAACATAAAAGTATACTGTGAATAGCTTTGAGAAAACAATCTTGGACATTTGTAGCAAAATTCTGGCCTGTCTTAATTGTAATAATTGCTCATGAAGTTGGTGAGTTAGATTTAAGTGTAAGTACAATTCTTTCAACTGTCTTGTGTATCAGTGATCATATAATTTCGTAGTCACAGTCTTATGCCTCAGCACCTATTCCTTACTTTGCTTTAGTTCCCATCCATTCTTTTTCCCTTTTCTTCAAGTTACCCCTCTGATGGAGCTGAAGCCTAATGCTGGGAGTGACAGGGCATGGGTTTGGAATACACATGCTGACTTTGCGGATGAGAGCCCTAAGCCAGAACTTCTGGCAATCCGATTTTTAAATGCAGAAAGTAAGTTGAAAGCAATTTGTATTACTTAAATTAAGTATGTAAACACCAGGAGTTGTAGACTGCATATACAAACTGATTTTTCTCTATTTTGTTTTTATAGTAATTCTGCTGAATAGCTTTTTAATAGTCCTGTTATCTGTTTTATTTCACTAATTTAAATAGTGATTTGTTCCATCAGGATTGTATCACATTTCTAACCCATCACTATCCAGTCAGTTTTAAGTTAGAGGGTGAATTTTAATCTGTATTTTATCTGTGTATATTTGTTATATGTATGTTACTAGTGTTTTGTTTTCTCCCTCTGTTTTAACTATATTGTACCCTGCCTCAAGCTGCAAGGAGAGGCGAGTAATAAATAAATTGTTGTTCTTGTTGTAGAAAAACAGAATGTCTTGGAGGGCAACATGTAATGTGACTCATTCTAACTTTGTACCACATTATGTGAGAGTGAACTTTTTGTTTATGACAACGGGTTGTTATCCTTGTGTGTCCTGACTTGCTCAGATTTCTATGTGCGAAACGGTTCGAGGATGGGGTTAGCAGAACCATTGGTCTTTTTAACCCTCCCACAGAGGTGGCTATCAGGATCTGTAATGTCCCCTTTTTGTTCTGCACCAGTAAGAAGTATTGTTAGCAAGTTTAAAGATCTGCAATACAGATTAACACTGTGTGTATGGTAAGAACCTGTCATTCAGGATTTACAGTTAGTGAAGAGCAAGTGAGACACAGGCATTTGACAAAATTTTGGGTTCTGGTTTGCAGAATGAAAAGTTGCCATTTTTTTCCGATGAATCAGGTGTGCACCTGTTATATTGAATAACACCAACCTCATGTTGCCATTTATGCTTAGTGGAGCATAAGCAGGCAAAAATGTGTTTTGGTGGTAATACTCTAATCTTAAATTGGAATAATTTGTTCTAATACTTTTAAACAATCTAATAGTGTTGCACTACTGGTCTTCAAAATTGAGGTTCTTATAATGTAAATTTCTACTGAATTCCCCTGCTAAATAAAAACACAGAATAACAGTAATAATATTGTTACCCATTTCTCCTCATAGCTCAAGATGGGCACAACAAAGTTAAAACACATCACCATAATGTACATACAACAAAATGCATATATTTAAACACATCATCATAAATAAATGAGCTACCATTAATTAATTCATTTTCGAAACTGTATATACCACACTTATTTTTGTAAAACCCCAGAGTTTTATTATACAACCAAAACAAAATTCATCAGCCAATCAACAAAACTAAAGCACTAGCATTTACATAATAAGAGCAAAAACCCTAAAACTTGCTTTTTACAGAAAAAAGTAGCTGCAAAGTATTGATGGCTGTAGTAGAAAACCTAATATACTTTGTGGATGATATGTATAAATGTAGGTTTGTTACATAATAGCTAATGTCTAGATGGGAAAGGGGGTAAGTGCTTACCCATATCCTTCTTTAAGCAGCTAAGGATTAATATTATCTTTGCAATATCTAAATCCATTGCAGCATACTCGTGTTTTTTTCTTCCTTGGCACAGATGCACAGAAATTCAAGGCAAAATTTGAGGAATGTAGGAACGAGGTTGATAAGAAGGGAAAGAAAGGTAAGTAAGGACTTAGACATGCTTCCTGCTCTCTTTTCTGTGCGATACGGCAATTAAGAAATGTCCAACATCTCTGTAAAAGTATTTTATTTATGTACTTGGAGCCAAGCATTTTATTTTTCCTCCAATATGCATAAGAAATTAAAAAGCCACCCCTCCTTTGCTCACAACAATGTTAAAGTGCCAACGGTGTTAGCTCCTTTCTGCATCTTATACCTGTCAAGATAGCTATCTTGGTGATGTGTGTTACCCTTGCTTCTTCTGAGGCTTAGAGAGCGTGACTTGGCCAAGGTCATGCATTTGTCTGCCTTGCCAGCTTCTGCCAGAAAAAAAGATATTTTTGGTGTAGTGACGTGAAACTTGATGTTTGAGAGTCATGCAGTCACACATGATAGTAATTTTGATGTGTTCAGGCCTACAGTTTATTTATTTATTTATTTATTTGCTATGCTTGTATACCGCTGTTTCTCAGCCTAGCCGGCGACTCAACGCGGTTTACAACAAAATATAACAATCAACAGTATACAATTTAAAACCATAAAACATAGTACACAATATTCGCATATCAATAACAATCCAATGCATCTCCTGACTAAAATCGTGATCCAAATTCGTCGTCCATATTACCAAACCTTTAATCATTACATTCTTGGAGAAGCAACTGATGATGATGATGATGATGATGGTGATGATGATTCTTGTTGGCAGGCTCACTCTGTGCCTGACTGCAATATTCAGTCAAGGTGCTTTTTAGGTCTGCTAGAGTAATGATCCAGGATGTTGTGAACATATCCCTGTTGTGGGACTCTGTTTCAATTGGTCTTGGCACATCATGTTCAGATTGGTTATTCATGTTGAATTTGAAAACTTAATGACAGCCCTATTCTCTTAAAGCAGGGCTTTCAAACTCATGGAAAGCCACATTAGCCTTATGGTTGCCTTCAAAGGGGTGTTGAATCCATGGATGGAGAATTTGTGGATACAGAGTACCAGCTATAATTTTTTGACATAGTGGCCAGTGCTCTTCGGTTATTACCCAGCTTGGGTCCTCATATGTTATTGAACAAGTCCCATCCCTTTTGATTATCCACCATGTGGAGTGGGGGTGATGGGTATTGCAATCCCACAACCCTTGTAGCTGAGATTGAGGAAGGGTTAAAGGACATTTTAGAGTCAGACATCCCATCCACAAACTTTGTATTTAAATCCCAGTTTCCTGATTAAATGGAACAAACTGCAGCCTTCCAGATGTATGGTTACTGTATCCCAACTCCCATCAATCTAGCCATGATGCCGAATGATGAGGACTACAGTAGTCCAGCATCTGCAGGGCTGCATAAAAAGACATGCTGGGATGGATTTGGCCCATGGGCCTTGAGTTTGACACATGTGATCTAAAGTAATGTTGAGACTAAGATTAGTCTTAGGCCTTTGCAGAACTAGGTTAATAAAAGGAAACATATTTAAATAACCTTTCTAAGACAACAATTTAGTTACATTATTATATAAAGTTTATCATATCTAACTTTTACAAAAGGAAATGCAAACATTTCTGTATTGGAAACAGCTTACATTATATTCTCCATTTTTGGGACAGCTTCAAGAAGTGTATTCACTTAGCAATAGGAAGCTGGGGCTTTATCTCCTCCGATCTTTTTTATTATGTGATACAACATATACCATTTCAAATTGTTTCATTATGTTCACGGAATTCATCAAAGAGTCAATCACGGAAATAGAAAATATTTTTTAGTGACAATCCTGCTGTGAAGGAAGTTGGAAAAGCATATATGGAAGGAGGGTAGGTCCCATTCTGTCATATTAAATCTTGTCAGGTAGATTTGGTACAGATTTGCCAGTGTATCAAGGCTGTCTGAACTGCAAAGTACTTCAGTACCTTCGATCCAAATCCAGCATACACCATACAGGTTCTTCTCTCCAAACTCTTCCAAATAGGCTATTATTTTCATACAACTTTCCATAATGTTGCTTCATTTGAATTTTGATTACACTCTTAATGCTTTATCTTAAAACTTTCTTTAGCAGGAGCAGATAAAAATGATAGTGCTGATAAAGTTGCTAAGAAACTAGAAGAACTATCTGTCAAGGAAGAAAGCAAAGAATCTGAGAAGAAAGAAGTTGAGGAGAAGACTGAAAAGCAATAAATCAGCTTGGGCCTTGTGTTATTTTTCTTTTTTAATTTTTACAAGGGACTTTATAAAGAACTGTATTCCAGCATTCAATTTTTTTCTAAGCTTTTGCCCTTTTTGAAGAGATCTTCAGAAAATATCCATTCCCCAGTCATGAAAATGTACTGTACTAAACTTTCTTTTCCATAGTGGAAACACTTATTTATAGTCATCTAAGAGAGAGAATAAAGCTTTGAGAGTTGTATCGAAGGACAGAAGTGAGTTTTCTATATGCTTCAGGTGTGTGACTGCAATGACTACCTTGGGTTCTATTTTTGAGTGCATATCTTTAGAGATGTAGTATAAGCAAATTATACTGATAGGAAAAAGTGCAAGTAAGATGTTTTCATATGTTGTGACTGAAAGCTGTAATGACTGAAACACGAGAACTCTGCTAAGATTCCTTTTCCTTCTAACTGGGGTTTGAGTGAACCTGTGTGTTTTTGTGTAGCTGTTGCCCTTTAAGAGCGGAAGGCCATCATCATAGAATGGCCACCTCTTTGGGGTTCTTAACGGTAACTTGTAGATATTGAAGCAAGATAGAACAAGCATTTTTTAATTTGCCATCGCTGAAAATACAAATTGGCAGTGGCAACACTATAAAACTATATTTTAGAAATCTTCCTCACCCTGCAGAACAAGCATGTGCTATGTGGGGAAATCAGCAGTCTTTCCAATAGGTGTGGGATGTCTAAATTTATCTTTTTAAAACTTCAGGTTAAACCTATCCTTTCAACCAATACTGAGACTTTTCTAGTGTATGTCCTGGTCTACACTTTGCCATCTTACAGATTGCATTTACCATTCCTTTCTGGGGAGGATGAGGCAGAGACAATTGACCCACCGAAGGCTTAGGTTCTAAAGAGATGTAGAAAAGGACACTTTTAAAAGCAAACGCCTGGTGGCTCAAAGCATCAAAACAGCCACCAAGAAAGAAACTTGGTTGGTCAAGCTGAACTTCAAATAATTTACTGTCTTAAACACAAGTGAAATATGTTAGGTGTCTGATTAAATGGCATTGGTAGTAGAAATGGTTTTCTTCCCTACTGTCAATGCCATCCACGTGGAGCCTTGTTTCCAGGTCAGTCAGTCTAGATTTTTGCCCAGGTGCCCCAAAGGGCGCTTCTGGCTAGGCATCTATCATGCATGAGTTACTATTTACATTGCAAAATAAGGCCATATGCCTGTCCTTGCGGTTGGATTGAGGCCCTTCCAAGCCCATTTTTTAAAAAATAAATCTTATCTCACCTCTTCTTTGTTTGATCCTTCCAAAACTCTCATGATTCTGAGATAAAGACAGACAGCCAATGCAGAGCCTAAAGATTCAAACTTTCTATGTGTGAATTTGTAGGTACATTCTGTTTGTATGCGCGGTACTAGTTTTGCATGTAAACCTTTCTTCAAAGGTATGGCAAAACGTCTGCTTAACATAAAGAATGTGGTGCACATCCTTATGTCTTTCAATTGAGTTTTCAATGTCAAACAATGCTTCCTGTTTGCAGGGTGTTTATCTCCTGTTCATTGACATCTTCCGCATACCGTCAACCTCATAGCATAGTGTCCTTTTTTACTCTTAGCACTTGAGTCAGTCAAGACAGCTAAAAGTATCTGGACCTTTCTCTTGGAGTAGGGGAAGCCTACAGAATAATACCTCAAACTGGTCCTTGAAAAAACCTCATGTCGATTCATTTGACAGAAATGTCCTTGGTGGCAAAGCTTACCTGTATTTGGATAGTCCATCTGTGAAAGTTGCCATAAGTGGATTCTGATTTATCTTGTCAAAGGGAGTCCTTACCCTTCACTTTGAAATAATTTTCAACTTAACGTTTTTGTGGGTTTACTTCTTCCTCAGTGTTTGAAACAGCAAGTGGTGTTAGATTGGTGTTAGAGAAGGTGCGACAAGCCACATGTTGTATGTGCCTTTTTTCAGTCCTAAGACACCTCCTCACTCAGTGTTGGTCCCCAATGTCCATTGCTTAGGCTGAAGACCTTTCCATACATCTGGTCTTAAGACAAAGTGTATCCTTTCCTACATCCTCTACCATGTCCTTGTGGATGTTTGTGATGGTTTTTAACACTTCCAATTTATGTCATTTTTAAATTCTAACATGCCGGTCATGAAACATTGTTATGTTAAAGAAACGGGTGCTTTCTGGATGTCAACATGTACAGCTCTTTGCAAATAACCATGCTGGGGCTGGGGAAGAGATGCTTGTGTGTGTTGAAGTGTGACATTCTTTGAATCTGTTGAATCTCTTTGTGTAAAGTCCAGAATTTTTATCCGTTTCATTCAAACTTCTGACACTGGGCATTACCTATTTATAATTCGTATCGTGCTTTCTGTGCAGGAAAGAAGTTTAAAAAACTGAATCGAAGCCATACTGATAGGATTTGTGTAGGTTTTTTCTTTTAACGTCATAAAATGTTTCAGTGACACTGAAAACCAAGTCTTGAGTATACTAAATTCAGATGCTGTAAATGAAATACATGCAGTTTTTTAAAAATCAAAATGGAATTGCAGTCCAGTCTACAGTTTGAAGGTATGGTTTGCCCTATTAAATTGTTATTACTGATTACTTTTGAGTCATATTGTCTTTATTAAGGAGAGTTTCCAAATCGTTCTACAGGTCAAGGTTCAATATACATTTGAAGGAAGCTTTTGCCGTGGTGTCTCCACTGAGAAATGTCAATCATAAGCTTTGAGGCAGAACAACAAAAGAAGGGAAGGAAATGGTATTCTGAGGGATCATCTAAACAATATTTGAGGGGGAATTTATTGTATAGATAACTAACTCAATTTCTCACATTTGGAAATGGGAACATCATCATAGGGGTAAGTGAGAAGTCAGCATTGGCATCTGAAGGGATGCTATATAGAACAGGGCTTCTTCAATTTTTTTCACTTGCAACTCCTTTCTGCCCAAGAAATTTTTATGTGATTTCAGGTATGTAGGGTTATAAAATGGGTATAAAAATAAAACATTTACAGATAATCAAATCACCATTGGCAAGGCTTCCTAAACAGGTTGGTTTTCCTTTTTCTGAAGTACAGCTGAAACATCTGCAGAGTCCGCTAAACTGCAGAACAGGTTTGTATAAATGTCTAAAACAGCCTCTAGGCGGCAGTCAGAAACCTTTTACTGTAGCCACAGTTTTCGGACCACAGCATTGAGCTAAAGCAGTAGTTCCCAACCTTTTTTTGACCAGGGATTACAACATTAGTACCAAAAGGGTTACAGATCAGTTTTTGGTCAACTTTAGATTCGGTTTGGTTATTTGGGGTGCTGATCCTGAAAATTGCATTGGATAGACCACATCAACTCTAGTTTCTGATACAGAACATATGCCATCCAGTAGTCGCCATCTGCTTGCCCACATAAAACCGTATTTAATAAGCCTCCGCACTATAAGGGTTTCATAAGACCAGTTGCTCTTGTTGCAACAGTGTAGTTTGCCTGACAACTATTTGGCATTAATTCAGAGTGTAACTTCTGTTTAATGTCACCAACAATTATCAAGAGAAAGGGGATTAAAATGAATAAAAATAAATATTGCACATACCATTCCACAGAATTAACTTTGTATTCCAGTTGTAAAATCGCTATGTTTGCAAAATAATAATAGATATTGCAATGAAACAGTATCAAAATCGACTTCAGGTAGCAAACTTAGAACCAAGACCCTTCTCTAGTTTGTGAACAAAGCTTGCTCTAAAGTTCATCATCGAGATAATGTAACATTGTCCGCAATAAACCCAATGTGCTACTTAAAACAAAGGTAAAGGTTTTCCAGACATTAAGTCTAGTCGTGTCTGACTCTGGGGAATGGTGCTCATCTCCATTTCTAAGCTTAAGAGCCAGCATTGTCTGTAGACACCTCCAATGTCATGTGGCCAGCATAACTGCCTGGAGCGCCATTACCTTCCCACAGAAGTGGTACCTATTGATCCACTCACACTTGCATGATTTTGAACTGCTAGGTTGGCAGAAGCTGGGCCCAACAGTGGGAGTTCACCCAGCTCCCCAGATTCGAACCGCCAACCTTAGAATCATAGAGTTGGAAGAGACCTCATGGGCCATCCAGTCCAACCCCCTGCCAAGAAGCAGGAATATTGCATTCAAAGCACCCCTGACAGACAGCCATCCAGCCTCTGTTTAAAAGCCTCCAAAGAAGGAGCCTCCACCACACTCCGGGGCAGAGAGTTCCACTGCTGAATAGCTCTCAAAGTCAGGAAGTTCTTCATAATGTTCAGATGGAATCTCCTTTCTTGTTGTTTGAAGCCATTGTTCCGTGTGCTAGTCTCCAGGGAAGCAGAAAACAAGCTTGCTCCCTCATCCCTGTGACTTCCTCTCACATATTTATACATTGCTATCATGTCTCCTCTAGCCCCCAGTGGCACAATTGGGTTAAACCCCTGTGCCGGCAGGACTGAAGACCAACAGGTCGCAGGTTCGAATCTGGGGAGAGGCGGATGAGCTCCCTCTATCAGCTCCAGCTCCTCATGTGGGGACATTGAGAGAAGCCTCCCACAAGGATGATAAAAACATCAAATCATCCAGATGTCCCCTGGGCAACGTCCTTGCAGATGGCCAATTCTCTCACACCAGAAGTGACTTGCAGTTTCTCAGGTTGCTCCTGACACGACAAAAAAAAGTCTCCTCTCAGCCTTCTCTTCTTCAGGCTAAACATGCCCAGCTCCTTAAGCTGCTCCTCATAGGGCTTGTTCTCCAGACCCTTGATCATTTTAGTCACTCTCCTCTGGACACATTCCAGCTTGTCAATATCTCTCTTCAATTGTGGTGCCCAGAATTGGACACAATATTCCAGGTGTGGTCTAACCAAGGCAGAATAGAGGGGTAGCATTACTTCCCTAGATCTAGACACTATGCTCCTATTGATGCAGGCCAAAATCCCATTGGCTTTTTTTTCCCGCCACATGACATTGTTGGCTCATGTTTAACTTGTTGTCCACGAGGACTCCAAGATCTTTTTCACACGTACTGCTCTCGAGCCAGGCATTGTCCCCCATTCTGTATCTTTGCATTTCGTTTTCTGCCTAAGTGGAGTATCTTGCATTTGTCCCTGTTGAACTTCATTTTGTTAGTTTTGGCCCATCTCTCTAATCTGTCAAGATCGTTTTGAATTCTGCTCCTGTCCTCTGGAGTATTGGCTATCCCTCCCAATTTGGTGTCGTCTGCAAACTTGATGATCATGCCTTCTAGTCTTTCATCTAAGTCATTAATAAAGATGTTGAACAGGACCGGGCCCAGGACAGAACCCTGCGGCACTCCACTTGTCACTTCTTTTCAGGATGAAGAGGAAGCATTGGTGAGCACCCTCTGTTTCGTTGCCAGAAGGTCATGGGGGACCTTGTCGAAGGCCTTACTGAAATCCAGGTACGCTACATCCACGGCATTCCCCGCATCTACCCAGCTTGTAACTCTATCGAAGAAAGAGATCAGATTAGTCTGGCATGACTTGTTTTTGAAAAATCCATGTTGACTATTAGTGATGACCGCATTTGTTTCTAAGTGTTTGCAGACCACTTCCTTAACAATCTTTTCCAGAATCTTGCCTGGTATCACGTGAGGCTGACCGGACGGTAGTTATTTGGGTCATCCTTTTTTCCCTTCTTGAAGATTGGGACCACATTGGCCCTCCTCCAATCTGCTGGAACTTCTCCCGTTCTCCAAGAACTCTCAAAGATGGTTGCCAATGGTTCCGAAATGACTTCCACTAGTTCCTTCAGTACTCTTGGGTGTAGTTGATCTGGCCCTGGGGACTTGAACTCATTTAGAGCGGCCAGGTATTCCTGGACGACTTGTTTCCCAATTTGGGGTTGGATGTCCTCTAATCCCTCATCCACTCCATCTTGCTGAGGTTGAAGATGACTTTCTTTTTGTGAGAAGACCGAGGCAAAGAAGGTATTAAGTAGTTTTGCCTTTTCCCTATCCCCTGTCAGCATTGCCCCATCTTCTCCTTGTTCTTCCTTTTTCTACTGACATAAGAAAAGAAGCCTTTTTAATTGTTTTTAATGTCCCTGGCAAGCCTGAGCTCATTTTGTGCTTTAGCCTTGCGGAACATTTCCCTACAGGAGTTGGCTATTTGGTCAACAAGTTCAGCAGCTCAGCTGTTTAACCCACTGCGCCACCAGGGGGCCCTTAAACATTGTTGTTCTGAAAACAAGCCACCAAGTATTGTTACAAAGAGACACCTTTAGAAGACTTCATACTATACTCTCACAAAGACAACAATCATGGGCCAAGCTTCTAATCAAATACAATATATTACAAGGTTAATTTACATACAGTAGAGTCTTGCTTATCCAACAGAAATGTTGGATAAAAAGCAGGGATTAAGGAAAAGCCTATTAAATGTCAAATTACATTACAAATTTTACAAATTAAGCAGTTACAAATTACATTACAAATTTTACAAATTAAGCAGTTACAAATTGATAGAAAAAGCAGTTTAATACATGGTAACGTTATGTAGTAATTACTGTATTTACAAATTTAGCACCTAAACATTGCAATGTATTGAAACAGCTGTGGATCTAGGTGGGAGGCAGACTGCATTGGATAATACAGAACGTTGGATGAGCAAAGGTTGGATAAGCGAGACTACTGGAATATGAGACTGAACAATTTAAAGGAGTCACTATTCTATGCCCACAAACATTACAATTTGTGTGTGTGTGTGTGTGTCACTTAGCACAGCTCTTCTGCTTTTTAAAATAGGGATCTGTAGTTTTAATACATCTTGTGCAGCTTTAAGAGGCAGAACTGGATGGCCTCTGCTGACAAACTTGGCTACTTTTCAGTTTTTAGCAGAAATCAGGAGGGCCTTGGTGCATGTGTCACCACCTGGGCTTATTTCACATAAGTATCTATTTCTCGTCAATATTAGATGTTACTCTGAGAGCCCCAAGAATCCCATCTATGTTGGATCTGGACCAAGCACGGTAGACATACCCTTCATGCTCCAATTTAACACAATGGCAGGGCAATGGAGGGGCTGATAGAGGATTATGGGAGTTCTAATCCACCCACATCCGAATATATATATAATCTCAGCACCTGTTTAGTTTATCTAACTCTTCTTCCCACTTGTCCCGATGTTCATCAGTTACTTTGCTGGTGCTCCTCCCCCCCGGCCAACACACATGGCCCTCCATATCCATGGATTCAGTTTGAAAATATTCCAAGAGAAATTCCACAAAGCAAATCTTGACTTTGCCTGTAAGGGGCACTGTATTATTATGCTATAGTATATAACAGAACTTGAGCATCCACATATTTGATATCCATGATGTTCCTGGAACTAAACCTCAACAAATGCCATGGTTCCACTGTATTTATTACAACAAAGGAGCCCCCGGTGGCACAGTGGGTTAAACTCCTGTGCCAGCAGGACTGAAGACCGACAGGTCGCAGATTCGAACCCAGGGAGAGGCGGATGAGCTCCCTCTATCAGCTCCAGCTCTTCATGCGGGGACATGGGAGAAGCCTCCCACAAGGATGATAAAACATCAAATCATCTGGGCATCCCCTGGGCAACGTCCTTGCAGACGGCC